TGCAGTTATCTAAGACTGTGAAAGGGAAAGCTGAAAGGCCTGTGTAGACTTAGTCTCTGAAGTCATAACATCCCTTCTGCCACAGTCTATTGGTCAAAACAAGTCACAGGCTAATGGAAATTCAACTTTTAATGGAAGGAGGGGCAAAGTCACATCACAAAGGTACAGGCAAATTGGTATGGGATAAATCTACATCTGTATTTGGCAATCCACATGGGAAAAAATATCTATGACAATCATTAATGTAACCTTTAACTAAAGTGATCATATTATTTGTAATCCAAAATGGAACACATTTGGGAGAGGCAAAGGAGGTGAAAAATAATTGAAATAATATAATTTTTGAAATAGTTATTTTCAAACATAATTTGACTTTATTAAGGATCTAGGAAAGATTTTATTCAAAATTGTTTCAACAATAGAATTGTTTATAAACTAACACATATTCTTAAATCAAAAATATGAAACTATATTTTTTAATTGCTGATATATTCAATGGATTCTTCTTACACTATAATATTTTTAAATGAGAAAAAAATTAGACCTATAAGTGCCAAAGTACTTAGGAAAATCCGAGAAAATTGTTAAGTAAGGGATATCTCACCTCTAATTCTTTCTTAAAGTATACATGGTATATCTCAAATATGCTATATTCTTTGTTTTTCCCTCTATCAAGAAGACCTTTATTTGGATAATATTTTTACAAGAAAATATTGCAAAATTTTCTCTACACATAATTCATTTTAGTGTTTCATAAAATTTAGGTCCTTCAAAATCACAGGACTTTGCAATTTCATTTTACTGGCACAAAATATGAACATGTTCAATTAAAATAAGAGTTCCATGAAAGAAAATTCCACAGTTGGGATATTGTGGTTGAAGTTTTCAAATTTCAAAATTAAATGTGGAACATCATTTGACCTGTAATCACTTATTTTGTTTTGTTATTCACTGTTTTATAAATTTGACATCTTTTTTTGTGTTTTTAGGCTCTATTTTTTAAAAGTTAACTGTAATTCATTAAAATCTTTAGAAGCTGGAATTTTCTTTTGCTACTTTGGTTTGGTTTTGTTCTCCAATCCTTAAATATCCAATAAAAATTTTCAAATAATTTTGAACCAACATCAATCAAAATTTAGAGGACTTGCTTACAAAAAGTTTATTGCTATTATCAACAACTGAGTCATTTTTCAAAGATCAAACGTGACATGAACTGACTTACTAAAGTATTATTAATTTTTATACTAAATATAAGCTTTGTAGCTCACTTTTTCTATGTATGTATAAAAACTGCCAATTTTGACAACTTCCATTTTGATTTTTAGACCATCACCTCAAATTGGAACTCAAGTCTGAGTTACGTGTGTCCCACTCAATTCCAGATATATTTCTACTTCACACAGACCTTAGTATGTCAGGACATTGTTTTTTTCATCATGATACTGTGTCCTACAAAATCTGCATTCACATTTTTATTATAAAACAAATCTTTATTGTTGCACTTAACCAAAGGGCATGTGAACTAATAGCATTCAAATAATTTTACCTTCAAAATTATAATAGTTAAAAAGCTTTACTTTGAACTAGATGAGTAAAATAATCAAAACCATTACTCAGTTAACTGATCTTTCTATTTGAACAGTCTGATGTCACTCATATAACACCAGCTTCACTTAATTATTCAAAAAGTTCAACTATGGACCAGAAGAAAACTTGAATTAGAAACCGAACAAAAGTAATTTAAAATAATAAATATTGATCTAAATGAAAAGTCATTTTCATTTAGTGACATATAAAACTACATTTGCAGGTACACATATTATCATTTTTGGTAACAGTTTTTCTCAAATAACAACTGACTTATAGCAGACACTGATGCTGCTTCATTATATTTTTGTGTGCTGGTTTTCATTTGACCTGTGGTACCATGATGATCCCCAGGGAGGGTGGTAAATGAGTTTGTGTAAGTTGCATATTTATCAATTTTCTTGAGGAATGAACATTCAGTATTTTTTATTAAACATGAATTTGTTTTGTCTTTAGTGAGGCCAAGAAATTTATCGCAAGCTATCACAAAGCATTACAAAATAATAAAACAAATAGTTTTAGATTTATGCCATTCCATACATGACATGTGGTAATATCCATAATAAAACCACTGTAGCAGGAATGTGTATACTCTCATCTATATATGCTTAGAATGTTTCTAATACCTACTTGTATTTCACAAACCACTGTGGCCATGGACACTTCCAACTAGTGATCTGGTGGCATTTTGTATCTCACAGGCCTAGTGGACACAAATGGCTGTCACACAAAGCAGTCAGCAGGAATGGCAGGTTGAATGCTTCTCATGACTAGAGAGAGCAAGTATTACGTTCACTCTATCAGAGGGGCATGGAGCCTTCTCTTTTTCTTCATCCCACATCCAATCCACATACATATTATGTTCTCTATTTTCAACATAGATCCAGAATCTTACTATATCTTATGACCTCCTCGGCTACTTTTGGTCAAGTGACCATCATATCTAGCCTGCAGTCTTGCCGTGGCCTTTTAACTGCTCTCTCTATTCCATGTTTACCCTTCAACAATAGCCTATTAACACTGTTAAATAGGTCTCCTCCACTTAGCAGAATTTTATCTGAATTTTCTAAGTACTTTGACACTTATATGTCTAGTATTTTTCTCATTTAAAAATATTATAAGACAAATTCATTGAATATATCAGTGATTAAAAATTATAGTTTTACATTTTTAATATAAGAATATATGTTATTTTTATAAATCTGTTGAAAAATGTTTTGAATAAAATCTTTCCTAGATCCTTAATAAAATCAAACTGTCAGTTGGAAAATACCTATTTCAAAAATTATATTATTTCAATTATTTTTCCCTTCATTTGCCTCTCTGCTCCATGTTTACCCTTTAACAGTAGTCTATTAACACAGCAGCCAAAGTGACACTTTTTAGTGTCACTGTGGCACTATTCTATTCCTCTGCTGGAAACCCTGCCTTGCCTCCCCATTTAGCTCAGAGTGATAGCCAAAGTCTTTCTCATGAGCCCTAAGCCCCACTACATGAGCCTGTAATTCCCATACTATTACTTTCCCCTTTCTTGCTACAGCCTCAGAAGACGTGTTGATAGCCCCCAAATATTGGAGGCATCTTCTCATCTGAGAAACTTTCCTCCAGCTGGCCCTTCTACCTGGATACTCCTTCCTCAGATATTTTCTTGGAAAAAATTTCTTCACATTTTTTTTTCCAGAATGCAAATTCAGATCTCCTCAAAGAGGTCTACTCTGACCACCCTATTTAATGCTGCTAACTGATACTGTCCTCCATATTTTGTGCAACTATTTTTTTCTTTTCACAATACTTAGTGTCTGTGCTCTCTTTATGTAATTTACAGTATTTATCAGTTTAGTCTATCATGTTATGGTAACAAATGATCTCAATCAGTCACGTACAAAAACATTTTATTTCCATGGGCTTGACTTCAGTGTCTTTTTCCTTCTGATTCAGGCTTTCTCCTGATAGAAAAGATCTGAAGTTTCTTCTTGGAAGTAACATCCATTACTTCCACTGATATTTCATTAACTAAAACAAATAATATGGCCAAGCCAGAGGTAAGAAATGTAGAAAGTGTAATCCTCCCAAAGAGAGGGGCTTAAAACTCATTAATGTTTATTATTATTTATTTGTCCCTCCAACTAGTACTTTAGGGACAAGACTCTTCATCTATTTTCCTCCTGATAAATATTAACTACCTAGACAAAGTTTTGCATGTAGTATCAAAGTTTTGTTGAATGAACAAATGAATAAAAATACACCATTTATTATATGGCTTTGCATTTTGGTAACCATCTAAAGTCTTTAGAGTTGCTATGGTTAAGGTGAATACTACCTCATTAAAAATATAGATTACAGGCTTATTTAACAATTTATTATGGACATTTAACTCCTGGTGAAGGTAGAAGAATATGGTAGAGGATAATGGATAACATTCCAATGGTCAGGAAATGAAGGACCCATTGCCTGTCTTGTAGCTTTGTAACTGGCTATCTGTTTGGCCTTGGACATATTTTCCTTGGTAGCAGAATCTACATGGCAATGTAGCTAATCCAAAGGGTGTGTCATGATTAGTCTAAGCCACTTCTGTCATCTTACCTTTGGAGAGATTATTCTGGTATGATTTCCTAAAAAGGAAGTTGAGGGCATCTAGAAACTAATCTTCTCTAATGAAAAGAGAGTTGAATAAGTAGAATGTCCTTTTTGGCTTTCCTTTCCTTCTCTTCTCGTTTGGATACTGTTGGGTAAAGATGGTATGCCTGGAGCTGTGGCAGCCATTATGTGACTATGAGGTGAAAAACATAAGGATGATGGAGAACACACTCAGAATATAGGATTTGAGCAATGGAAAGAGCCAGTGTCCTTTATCACATCACTGAGCTGCTAAACCAATCCTGTCATTGCTGATCTACAAAATTCTTGGTAGGTAAACAACAGATGTTCTAAAGTAGTGACTCAAGACACAAAATTTGCATCCCAACTGAGTTGAATTTATCCTGAGACAGATCAGTTGCCCCTGACAACTCAAGAGAAAATCATGAACAAACATCACAACCTCTCATAATACAGAAATACATTTTAAAAATATCTGAAATAGGTAAGAAATACAGATTTAAAGACTAACTTTTGGATATTGTTGGTATATTTGATATGGTCAAAATATTATAAACTGAGTTGACTATATAAAGAGAGAAAATTTAGATAATAGGTAAGATAATTTTTACTTGCATTAATCCAGAGTAGCTTGAATAATTTTGCTATTTACAAACCAGCTGTTTTAAAATCACATAAATTCAGTTATAAATTAATATATTTATTCCATAGTCTATTATCCTATTCACTGTGAAAATAAATATATGGCAGGTCTTCTGCTATTCATTTAAAATATAAATTTGACTTTGAAAGAATCTAGGGCTCATTTGGGGCTAAATATAATTTTATAATTCCATAGGTTATGTGACATACCTTTGGAAACATCTGGCAATCAATATGGACTTTGAGTGTTATGTATCTTCTGTGAAAAGTGGAAGCTACGCTCTAATTTCAGGGAGACCCTGTGGGCTGCAGAAGGAGCCATGGGAACCTAAAGAACTAGATTTGCCCCTGTGGGATGATAACTCATTGACCTGAGCAAGGGAATAAGTGGCATTCCTGTTGAGTTTCTGTTAGTTACAAATTCACTTGGTGACAAATAACAGACAATTAATATGACTTAACGTTTTATTTGTTTCATAAAGCAGAAAGTTCAGAGAAGTTCAGGAGGGCCATGGCAACTCAGTGATGCCATCAGGAACTAAAGTTGTTTCCATCTCTCAGTTCTATCTTTATTATCCATTCCTTGACCCTTATGTTTCCTGTCTCGGGGAGAGGAACATGTATGTCAGCATTTTTGGCAAGAAGAAGGGTGAGGACTAAGCCTTACTAGTGAATTTTGCTTTTTGATTTGGGAGATTGTGCAAACCTCAAGGACTACTGATGATATGTTGGCCACAACTGTCACAAGTCTAATCCTGGCTGAAAGGTTGAATGGGAAATTGAGTATTTGCTCTTTCCAGCATTTATGGTAGAATGATGCAAAGATTAAAATAATCACAAGCAGGTTCTGGAGAGTCAATCAACAGTGTAATTATATAGGAAACAATTATGTTTTTATGATCTCTTGTCTTGAGCTGAGAGCACTTATGAATCTTTGGAAATACAGAGAGAAGAAGTAATTCCTCTTCTTACCATGCCAAGTTCCATGCATTTTCCCTGCCTGCAATCCTCTCTCTTCCTCCATTTTTCTTATATGAACATTACCCAAACTAAATAATTTTCAGTACTCAGAGCAGAGTGAAAATATGGGAGCCTGACCAGGAAGAGGGAAGTCAGTTTCCACTTCTGACAGGCCAACAATGCCAACCCAGAGTGTTGGGTAACTCCCAAGCAATTGCAACTTCTGCTCAGAGACATACTTTGAGACTGACTTATGGGTAGGTAAGAAGCTTTTCCTAAGATGTCTACTGAATGTGTCTTTCCTGAGTCTTCCAGCACTTTCTAGTCACCAGCTTTGCCCTGCATGCATGACACCTTAGCCAGATTGTACACTTCCTGAATGGTTACAGCTGTTAAGAACTTTATACTGTGCTTATTTTTACCCCAGTGCTGGGCCCTTGGTAAATACCTTATGTGTCATTAATTGTTCTTACCTTTTGTTCCTGATTATAGCAAAGGTAGTGATGAATCCTGCTAACTAGTGGCCAGCAGTGAGTCCTGATGTTGTAGAGATAGGTGCATGGTACAGACAAGTTTTTCAAGGTTCTCCCCATGTTTCGGGTCAGCATTCTCCTTGGGGACTCCATGGTCAAGGGTTCATAGGGTTTTTAGGGATACATGCAGAATCCCTGTTTCAAGAAATACCATAGAGATCTGCTTTCTCCCTCCTAGTTTAGACTTAGTTTCTTCTTTAATTTCTATTATAAAATAAGACCTGACATTATCTATTCTCTGTGCAGTGTCACATTCAGAGAATAGACTAACGATCAAAAATTAATTAAAAGCAACCCCACCTTTTACTGACATTTCTTGAAGAAGGTTCAAGGGAGTTAATGTATAATTCATATCAATATCCTCACACTCTGCCACTGCCTCAAAAACCTCTGGGTCCATGCTTTATAATCCATTTTCAACCAAAAAAAAAAAAAATCTTTAAAAAGCACATTTTGGGCCGGGCATGGTGGTTCACTCCTGTAATTCCAGCACTTTGGGAGGCTGAGATGGGCAGATCACAAGGTCAGGAGTTTGAATCTAGCCTGACCAACATGGTGAAAACCTGTCTGTCCTAAAAATATAAAAGTTAGCCGGGAATGGTGGTGCATGCCTATAATCCCAGCTACTCAGAAGGCTGAGGCAGGGGAATCGCTTGAACATGGGAGGCAGAGGTTGCAACAGACCAAGATTCTTTCTCAAACAAAACAAAACAAAACAAAAACACATTTCATACAGCTTTCGAATCCTTGCTGTCTCCCTCAATCTATTAAATAATCTCTCCTATTTTCCTTTGGGGGAGGGATATATGTTCCCCTGATATCAGTATAGAAAAGTCCAGGGACTTCTCTGACAGACTCAAAATTGCCCTTGAAAGTTTGGAGAGAGAGAACTTAAAGGCACTAAGAGATTTAGCTTTGGAAGAGAGAGGGAAGAGAGAATACTGAAACATTCATAATTGAATATCTTAAAATTTCCATTTCTCTGAGAATCATTTCCCATGTCTGACTGGACCTCCTTCCCCCAGAGAAGGAAGAGAATCTGTCTCACTGAATACATGCATCAGCACTGTGCTTGGGGGCAGAGAGCCAAGATTGGTTTCTGTTTATCATGGAAAAGAGCTGAAGGTACTTAGTTTTAAGCTGCACTGAATCTGGTATCATTCATCCGTTTATGTTCTTTAAAAAAAAAAAGCCTTTAAAAATTCAGTGCAGGACAACAACAACAACAAAATTGTCCTTTGATTCCATAATGGCTTTTATTCCCCAGAACTGCAGTGTGCAAATAAAGGAAAGCAAATTATGTTCTGAATTAAACTTTTCTTGCCTCAGCAAGGCTGAGTCACCTTTGACGTTCCATTTTTTGAACAGAGCTGGCCGCATATATAGAGCTATTTTAAAAGATGTCACGTACAAACCTGCAACTTTAGGATGTTCTACTTCAGGACAGTCATCTAAAGAAAGGTAGCTGAGCTGAATTTACCCATCTAGACCCCAGGCTTCAGTTCCCCCCTAAATCTATTTGGATATATAGTAGCTAACAGAATATTGAAGCAAAATCATTACAGATGCAGTCCTCTATGGTCCTCTTGGTTGCCCCATAGATGGCAAGATGTGATCAGAGAGAAAAGATAAATGCACTAAACTTCTCCTTGCATATATCCCCTGGTAGGGAAAGAAGTCGATGGAAAGCAGTAGTTTAATAAACAACTTCAGAATGTTTAGGCTTTTAAGAAAAGAATACAAGCAAGAACCTATGGTCCGAATAACTTAAAGAAGTCCATGGCAGATCTAGAAAGAAAGCTCTCTATGGAGGGTGAAAGAGAGTAACATAGAACGTACATAATGAACATAAAGCAGGGAGTCTAAAAATGAATATTCTCTACATCTCTGCTCTTTTTATTGAGTTTGTTTTTCAATGTATGGTAGATGTGAAGACATCCTTGGTGTATGTGCAGTCAGCAGCAGCTCTCAAATTTCTCAACAGGAAGAGCTTGGAGCATTAATCTTGTGAGAGGGCAAATGGAGTTAGAGTATGTGTCTGGAGACTGATTATTTACAAGTATAGGCAAGCCCACCTTATTTTGCTGCCTTTTCCTTTTTGCACTTCAGAGATACTGTATTTTTTACAAATTGAAGGTTGGTGGCAACCCCTCATCCAGGGACTTTATTAGTGCTGCCATTTTTCCAACAGCACACACTCACTCTGTGTCATATTTTGGTAATTTTTGCAATACTTCAAACTTTTTCTTTATTATTACATCTGTTATGATCTATTATGATCTTTGATGTTGCTATTGTATTTGTTTTGAAGCACCACAAACCACACTCATAAAAGAAGGTGAGCTTAATGGATAAATGTTGTGTGTGTTCTCACTGTGCCACCAACCAGCCATTTCCCTATCTCTCTCCCTGTCTTCGGGTCTCCCTATTTCCTAAAATACAATATTGAAATTAGGCCAATTAATAAATCTAAAATGGCTGCTAAGTGTTCAGGTAAAAGGAAGACTCATATTTCTTTCACTTTAAATCCAAAGCTAGAAATGATTAAGCATTTTAAGAAAGGAAGGCATGTTGAAAGCCGAGAGACTAAAAGCTAGGCCTCTTGCTCTAAGAAATTACCTAAGTTATGAATACAAAAGAAAATTCTTGAAATTAAAGTGCTATTCCAGTGAACACATAAATGATAAGTAAGTGAAACAGCCTTATTGCTGATGTGGAGAAAGTTTTAGCGGATAGAAAATCAAACTAGCCACAACATTTCCAAATTCCCAAGCCTAAAGCAGGTCAAGGCCCTAACTCTTCAATTCTCTGAAGGCTTGAGAGAGGTTAGGAAGATGCAAAGAAAATTTTGAAGTTAGCAGAGGTTGATTCATGAGGTTTCAGGAAAGAAGCTGTCTCCATAAGATAAAAATGCAAGATGTAGCAGCAAGTGCTGATATAAAAACTGCAGCAAGTTATCCAAAGGATCTAGCTAAGATCACTGATGAAGGTGGCTACATTAAACAAAAGATGTTCTGTTGTAGGCAAAATAGCATTTCACTGGAAGAAGATGCTATCTAGGACTTTCATAGCTAGAGAAGAGAAGTTGGTGCCCGGCTTCAAAGTTTCAAAGGCAAGCTGACTCCCTTGTTAGAGGCTAACGTAGCTGGTGACTGTAATCTGAAGCCATAATTCATTTACCATTTTGAAAATCCTAGGGCCCTTAAGAATGATGCTTAATCTACTCTGCCTGTGCTTCATAAATGGAATAACAAAACCTGGATGAGAGCAAGTCTGTCTATAACCTGGTTTACTGAATATTTTAAGCCCACTATTTACACCTATTGCTCAAAAGGAAAGATTTCTTTCAAAATATTACTGTTCATTGACAATACAGTGGGTCACCGAAGAACATTGATGGAGATGTATAAAGAGATTTTTTTACTATCTAAGGAAGCTATAGCTTTAAAAAAATATAGGAAAGGAACAGTCAGTTAATGCTGTAAACTTTGTTGTCTTATTTTAAGAAATTCCTGCAGCCACCCCAACTTTCAGCAATCACCACCTGGATCAAATAGCTTCCATCAACTTTGTAGCAAGACCCTTCACAGGCAAAAGGATTATGACTCACTGAAGGCTCAGATGATCATTTGCATTTTTAGTAATAATTTTAAAATTAAGATATATGCATTTTTTTAGACAACATGCTTTTGCACACTTGACTACACAATAGTGTGAATATAAATATTATATATGCTGGAAAACCAAAAAGTTTCTATGACTCACTTAATTGCAATATTCTCTTTATTACAGTGGTTTAACTGAACCTACAATATCTCCTGTGTATGCCAGCACAATAACTTTATTTAATGTAAATATTCAAAGTATCTAAGAAAGGTACTGATGGAAATTATGTGAGATGGTGGCTGGGTAGTGCCCATTCTAAGCTATGCCTACTTCAGTGCCATATCTGCAGAGTCCAGTCTTCCAAAGAGTGATCATTCTAAAGTATCTCTGAGAAAGAAACACTCACTTTCAGCAGTCAGAAACAAATTTCCTGAGGAAGCCATAGAATCAACTGATACTTCCCATTCTTAGGAGGTTTAAAGAGGCAGTTTGGTGTATGGTTTGGGGAATGGATTGTAGGATCAGAAAGACTTGTTTTCAAATCCCAGTTTTATGATTTATTGTGTGATCTTGAGCAAGCCATTTGTCTGTCAGATTTGTTGTACACTGTTGGGAATAAGTGCTTATCTTCTGATGTCATAGGGAAGAATCCTCATTCAGACAAAAGATTTCTCAGCAAGGCTTTCTTTTACTTTCTGCAGAAAAGGCACTGCTCACCAGCAGTCTTACCATGAGAATGCACTGAACAAAGGAGGAGCAAGCATATTTATGTCTAATACATCCAGCCTTATTGCTGTGTCCTGATTTTTTGCTGGAACTGGACCTCACATTCTACACTAAACCCAATTGGCTAATAACTTAAAACTTTCCTAAAGATGTAAGGGCAGAGGAGAACAAAGGAAAAGAGGAAGTAGCTTACAGAATGCTGACAGAAGCAGAAATACTTCTAAATAAAGAAAGAGAAACAAGCTATGACCTAAGGCTAGCCTGGACTTATCCAGGTATGTCAGGGCAGATGTCTAGGCTAAAATGTAAGAGCTAAGAACAGAAAATACACTGATTTCTTTATTTTAGCTAGCAGATGTAACAAAGGCCTGTGAGTGGATTGACCTAGAGAAAGAGACTGCTATCTATTCTTAATAGGCTAAGAGAATTTGAATAGGAACCTTTATTTTGCTTTCTACATATGTAAACAACCTGCCTAGGGTTGTGTGGGTCAAGATGGCGTGTGTGTGTGTGTGTGTGTGTGTGTGTGTGTGTGTGTGTGTAGTATTGCTTGGTCCTTGTACCTTGTAAGTGCTTCAAAATGGTAGCTATTACTATAAATATCATCATAATCGATATTATCTTACTGAACCCACATTTTTTCTTTCAATGTTTATTCTTCATTCACTGACTCAAGAAAAAATAATTATCTTGACCTAAAACTTGTCATAGGTTGTGAAGACATCAGTTTGATAAGTTAAAGATTTGGTCAAATGGAAGGACTTGCACATGAATAACAATAATCTAGTGATAAAGTACAAAGGGCAAATGGTATGCTGAAGAAGCCCTGAATTCTGACTGTGGCAGGTAGGTAGGGCTCACAGAAGAGATGACATATTTTAGCTGGTTCTAAACGATGAATAGAATCTCAGAAGTGGGATATGGGGTGGAGAATTGCTAACAGAGAGAAATAATAGCTTAAAAAAGAATACAGGTTTGAAAGTACAAAGTCTTTCAGGGCAATTTGTTATAAGAAAATAAAGGGTAGGCTTGAAGAAAATTGGTGGTTGGGGTATTCAGACAGGGGAGATATATCGGGATGTAAATGTGAATTTTAGTCTTAAACCTTGTAAAGCAGAGACGGTTCATGCTTACTCTGTGTGCATTAAGGAGCCATTGGGAGGCTTTTAAGCTAGGAAATGTCACAGTAAGATTTGCTTGGGAAAGATAATTCTGGTATGTTCTGAAGGCTTTATGTGAGAGAAACATGAAATGAGATGCAGAGACACTAATTAGAAAATTATTTCAATAAGAAGGCATTTTAGGTCAGAGGCAGTAGTAATAGCAAGATGAAGGTGTATTTCCGAAAAGGAAAGCAGGAGTCTGAAGTGAAAATATTTATCCCTCACCACAGAAGCTCTTTCAAATATTTGAAGACACTGTTTTGAGCTTTCTAGATCATTTAGTTTTTCAGACCAAACATCTCCCACCCCTTTAATTGCTTCAATTTAGAAATGTCCTTGTCTTCCTTAACATACTTTTGATGAGTAATCCAAATCTGTCATTTTTCTTCTTTAAAAATAGGTCCTTAAATTGAAACCCACACTTCAAGTATAGACTCATCACCTCTAACAAGACACTGTACCAGACATTTATTATAAAATGTCTAACCAGACATTTATTATAAAATGTCTAACCAGACATTTATTATAAAATGGCACTATCTCTTAGACATTTTCTCATAATCTTGGCATCATTGAACTTGTGGCTAAAGAAGATGCCCAGATTCTTTTTGCATTAACTGTTGTCATGCCACCTTTTAACATATGATTTGCAAAGTTTTATCCATATCTCCTGATATACTGAGACGCTGAGCTAGGTGGGCAGGTGTGAGATAAAAGCCCTGGAAGATTATATTTTAAAATAGCTTATGTTGCTAATAATTGAGAGTGGCTTATGAATAACTACATCTAAGCTGCTGATGTAGACTTCTAGAGTAAGTCATGGTTCATGAATATTTACCTTAAATCTGGAGCCTGAAACACCTAACCTGGAATCCCCCCAGCCTCAACCCTAGCCAAGCTATTTTACAGCAGAGAAATTTATTGACAAGTGGGAAATCTGTCTAAAACAAATACATTTAGACTTAAAGCATAGATAATTAACCAGTTCACTCAATGTCTCGTAAACCTAAACTATCTGTACACATATAATATGACATAATGATACCTGATGTGGAAAAACACCTAAAGATTCTTGTTGATAAGCTCACCATGTGACCTTAGGAAGATCATCTTCTCATATGCCTTGGTTTCTTCATCTGTAAAATAGGGAGACAATGCTAATATTAACAGTATCCCATGGGGTCATTATGAGGACTAAATAATCATATTTTTAAATAATTAGAATTCTGCAAGGCTTATAAAAAACACTATTGAGAAAGAACAGGACCAATATTTGTTAGCTGTCATTTTCTCCTAGCATTACAACTATCGGATGTAACCAGTTGGTCATGGGGGTGAACAAGGATCTCATACTCTGTTGTTGAGCTTGCCATTAGCTGAATAAGAATATTTGATCATTCATCGAGATGCATTTATTAAACACACTATATTCCATGCACTGTGTTTACATTTGCTTAGAAAACATTAAAAAGACATGGCCTTGGCTTAAGAAACGTAGAGTCCAGTGGTATAGCACATGCTTAAACTACCAATTACAGCACAGACTCCAAGGCTATGACATCTCACTGACTTGTGGACAAATTGGTGAATTCCAACCTCTAAAGTTGTTATGTACTTACCTATTTTGTCAAAAAATATGGATATTAGAAGTAACCTGACTGTTGTACGCCATGGAAGTTTGGGGACTATAATGTATTTTCTCCTAAAAATAAGTTGCTAAAAATGCAGGTATTATTAGTCTCTTAAAGGCAGATGAGAATTACTGGGTGGGAAGGTGACTAGAATACCAGTGAGGATAAGGCTAGTTAAAGGTACAAAGGAATTTGGGACATATTTATACATTGGAGATGTTATTTTTGCTAGACTCAGATATTGAAATGTCTTTTCTTTTCAGTGAGATATAAGTAAACAAATATAACCTTATCCAGAATTAACTATGCATATTGGACACACTGATCAATAGAACACTTCTTCTTGTCTGTGCCCTTTAGCCTCACATGTAAAACAGAAGTCAAGTGGCACTGTGAAAACCTTGATCTTTTACTAACCTACCAAAAATGTTTCCAATCATTCTTCATTGATAATACTATTTTTAAGAGTCAGTTAACTTTGCAATACTTTATATTTGTTAGAGAGACAACTGAAGTGGTGAGACTAACTGTGTAGCATTCTTTCCTGCCTACAGCCAATGACTGGTTGTATTTATTTCAAACACAGCGGAAGACGAACCTGGTATAATACATCTGTATCCAACCACTGTCCCAGTTCAGAGATATTTAAGTTGGCTATATTCAGTATCATCCCTTCTTCCATTATCTCTCTTCCTCTTGGGATTACAGGCATTCTTAAAAGTTGCAGGGTAGAGATAAATTGGACAGGGTTGAGCTAGGTCAGCAGGCACTGAAGGGCACCACATCCACTGGGACTTAGTGGAGTTGGGGCTGCCAGAGAAGGCCAGTGCTTTCTGCAGCTGATGTGAAGGTAGAATTGTTGAAGCCTTGGCTTCTGGCTTTGGATGGACCTCACTGGAGTGAAGACTAGACAGTCTGCAAATTATGGCACCCACAGAGCTTTTGAACACAGCAAAAGTCCTTCTGCTGGGAGCTTTCCTGAGACACGTCTCATTTCTCTATGAAACATGCAGATCCACAAACATCTTTTATTCTTCTCTCAAATGCGCTGCCTTCATTTTTATATTTTTGACATAGAAGCATCTAAAGTAATTAATGGAATTTAGAAACTTAAAAACACTAGAGACAATTGTGAAGTTATTTCTGCTTTCTACTCTGGTAAACTTGAGGAAATGGACCAAGACTCTCTTAACATGTATGGAGATATTTAGGGAAAAGAAACAGGTGGGAAGGTGGTAAGGAATACACAGCAAGCAAAAGTAAAATGGGTTAGCATTTCAAACAACTCTACAACAGAATTTTCTGTAAACTCCTGTATGTTTTATAGACCCTAGAATGAAATTGTGGGATTAAATTCCTGTTCTGGTGCTTGTTATCTGAGTGACTTTCAACAAGTCACCATTCTAGACCTCAAGGATGTCCTCCTCTGTGAATGGGGATGCTGATAGCACTCTTTGTGGGCTAATATGAGAATTAAATAAGTGTGTAATGTACTTAGAAACATATACATTAGTATTCAAGAATTGAAATATTTTAAAGCTTGTTTTTTACTTAACTCACAAAAATACATTATAGCAATCCTGAAATTGTCCACTATTAGGAAGGGTAAGACTAGTAATCTTGTTACGGTGGTCTCAGAAAAGGTTAATATTAAGACGCTGTAATACACAGATAAAAGGAGCTTTGGGATGGAGTCCTGGTTGCTGTGGATATAAAGACAAGGAAAAACTCAAGTGTAGGCAAGAATGGAGTAGAAAAAAAATTTCAAGCCTGGGCCAACAAATGGTGAAGAATCACTTAATTTGCCTTAAACATAACCACCACTAAGTGACTTTTTTGCTGGGAGGTTTTTTGGTTTTTTTTTGTTGGTTTGTTTTTTATTGTTTTATCTGAAGGTATTTTTCCATGGGAACATATTTCTGGCCGTAAATAGGAAATCAGTGGTAGACAGGCTTTACTTTGCTGAACTTATCGATTCTATAAAATGAAAGAAAGCTGCTTATATATACATCTAGCCAGGCAAGGAGTCAGGCTTGCTTCTTTCTCAACTGCCTTTCTTGGCCCTTTCAAATCCAACAGGGCTGAAAAGGAAAAGGGGTCGTCTTTAGCTTCACACAAACTAACAGCCATTTTGATGACAAGAAAGCAGGGTTGCTTCCCAATGTGTCTTTGTTCGAGTGATAGCAGGCCCATTGAAACCTCCTGATGGAGCTCATTGAAAATAATAGGCCCTATTATCTTCACTGGCAATGCTGCCATGAAGCTTCAAAAACTGAAATAATGACAGCACATATTGGATGTACAGTAGAAAGGCATAGCATGATTATGGGCAATTTCTGCCTCTTTTCTACACACCTCAATGGATGAGGGAGGGGTCAGTTGGGGCAGACTGTAATGACCAGGGAAGGGACACTTTGTAAGTATGCCCTTTTGTCATGTTTGCATGCTTAGAATTTAAATGCTTTTTCTCAAATAATTTGTAAAAGTAAAATATCAATGTCAGAATCTTCATAAACTAGAGTTTGGGAGGGATAGATTTTTTAGTAAAGAAATACTGTCATATTTGGTAACTCGTCCGGAACTGCTGCTGTGAAATTGGTAGGAAATTTCTGGGAGACAGCAAGTGCACTAAGGCAGAGTGACCCTGTACTTACTCTATAGAGGAAGGTTTCTCTAAGATCACGATGCCCTTCCTTTCTCCACATCAGTGCTCTCTGTAATCCCAGATGTTCTCAGCAAATCTGATTTTTCTGGCCACTGGAGTTGGGAGGAACAAATGAGAAGGAGGATAAATCTAGAAGAGAGGATACATCAGCCCACAAAAAAACCCAGTGGGTCAGGAACAGACCTATTAGGCTCTGAGAAATTACCAGGAGGAAAACTCCCCTGAAGGCTCAATGACAGCTGAGTAGGAAAGGGCTCCCTCAGGAGGAGAATGGGCTCTATTAAAGGAAGAAAAAAAAGGAATATTTGCTTTTGGGAACCTTTCTTTTGTTGCTTGTTATTATCTCTGTTTTTAGAAATGGAATGTCTTAAAACCACTAACCAACACACACAGACATCTTTTTTTTTATTTGAAACAACGCCAAAGAATACACTGTGCTGTGTACATCACCTTTGGGGCTTATACTTAATAGAACAAGATGGTCTCCCTGCTTTCCTGGTGCCTGACTATAGCTGGGGAGAGGCCCATGGCAGAAACAGCATCATCTGGCTATTGTGGCAAAATAAGTAACAAGGAGGAAAAGAACATCTGATAGAAATCTTTCACAGATCTGTCCATTTTAAAAGTAAAAGTCATTCTACTTTTCGGAACTTCAGTTTCTAAATACTTATTAAATCTTGGCTGAAGAATAACCTAGATGACATCATTGGTATGCTCATTTAAAACACAAATTCCAGACTTTATTCCAGATCTAAACTAGACTCCTTGGGGCTGAGCTTTAAAAATCTTTATTTTTACACAAACATCCTAGGCAATTCTTGTCCACAACAATGTGTGAGAACAGTGAGATTCTGAGCTCAGATAGCATAGTTAGACCTATATTTCTGGGTGAAGCCTCACAATTACAGCTTGCAAACAAAATGAGTAAGTTCTACATCACATCTCAAAAGCAATCTTTCAATACTGTACTCTGTTTTCTGTTCGCAGTATAAATGTGGTATTGAAGGGGTTTCCAGTGTCATAGATTTTGTCTTAAGGGGATGGAGGGGAAGACATGTCCAATGTATCAGAGAATGTATTTCCCCTCTGAGGGCATGCCCTGCTGTAGAGCAGTGGTGAATTAAAATGTGCTGATTGTCCATAGCACAGTCTGTCAGTAGTACATTCAAAGCACTAACCTTCTTTCAAAGAACAGTGCCTAGGGGTTGTGGAATTTCCCTCTTCTGGCATACTTGGAGTATTGAATCCTCAGAGTAGATTGATTTTAACACCATTCCTTTCTATGTAACGTTATCTTCAGCAGTGATCTTCTTCTAACAATCAGTGATAATCATTAATTTTTTATTTATCCTTTATTTCAGAAATAATTAAGAAAGATAAAATTTCAACTTGAAAAAAGTTACAAAAATTCAACATATTACTTCATGTATAACCTAAAATAGACACTTCTTAACTATGTAGAGTTTCAATTGTTTCATTCTCAAAAATTGTACACATCTGAACTTCAAGTAGTCACCTAGAATGACAAAAATGAATAGCTCATGTTATTTTTGTTCATTTTCACAATCATGTGCAATCTTTATATATCTAGTGTTTAAACTCAGAAATACATACAATGACAGCATTTGGAAAGACAAATTCAAAGGCTGTTGAGCCATTACAAATGTCTTATGAACTGGTAGTTCTTCAAATTTCATGTAGAATATGACATTTATTAAAGAACATATAGATTTTATTAAAGAACAGTACTAATTTAAAGGTCACATTTCACTAGAATATTAAAAGTCAACAGTAATCTCAGGAATTTAGAAGTGAGACCAACAAGATACTTCTTTGCAAAGGAGTATTTCATCACTGATATTGCTTAGAATTGTTGGAGCATGTTGATAATGGAAAAAGTATACAGTCTTTTAGTTAGCTCAGGACTTGTATCTGTATCTATCTTTGCTAAGATTCTCTCAGGAAACATTACTCTCACTTTCTGGGGTATGTAAATTCTTTCTCTTCTTTTTTTTCTTTTTCTTTTTTTACAAAATATATATTCTCTATCTATTCTAGCCTTCATTGAAAATAACATATAATGTATATCTAATATTTAGCAATTCAAAAAGTCCTCTATATTTTCTTATTTTCATTCTTAAATTTTATCTTCCTCAAGAAACAGAGGTTAAAGTGACCTTTTGATCATAAAGATTGTAAGTTTGTAGAGCTGCAACTGTGTTTAAGTTATAAGATTCCAATCTGAGACTCTTTGCATCATATATCATGTTTTTTCAGTTCTGAAACATCTTTTTGCATCTTTTTCTCATGGCATTGCATTCTGTGCCATTGAAATGTTGTCTAATTTTTTCCATATGTATTGGTCTTTTCTCTGTACCATTTGCATCTCCAACTGAACACTAACTTAATTGACCAAAAAGGTGATGTTTTATAATTTGTTTATGTCTTCCTCTTTCCTATAGCTCTAAGCATATTTCTAAGCACATAAAGAATTTTTGAACATTTTTAGTTAATTGCTTTGACAATAGATTAAATTATTGATCGATTGATATCATAATTAGTCCTTTGACTCTTGGTATAATTTATTTTCTGTGCTCTTTCTATGTATCACAGGTACTTTCATTAGCATATTCTTATTTTCCAGGCACCTTTGAATATGGTACAGTGTTTTGACCCTTTATTTAAATCAGCATTTGAGCCCAGCATCTTTCTAGATTTTGTAGCATATTTGTGGTCTATATTCCTCCACCTCTATGTTCAGTTCGTCTCTTGGAGTATAACCTATGATATATCACTATGGAATGTGGTTTTGAGCTTTAGACATATGACTGCCCCACACTAGCTCAGTGCAATAGATATCCAGGTGAAGTGTTAGAGTGAAAAATTAGCAGGTTGGCTGGCCTTTATTAAAAGGAAGATGAGCTGTTTAGAAAATTCTGGCTTTGAAATTATGTTAGAAATTCATTTCAGTGTCCTAGCAGTGAATAAAAGATACATCTTTTGTTTAGATAAATACACTTGAGATCACCTGAATTTTGATTTAAAAAAAAAATAGCTCACATAACTATGGCAATGAACAAAATGGCAGACTGTTAAAATTAAAAGACAACTAAACTAAGAGTTCAAAGACTGTGAACTCAGTAGATTGTGAGGTCCTCGAGAGCACAGACTGATTATAATATTCATATTTCTGGTACACAGATGTTTCTGCCTTATAAGTCCTTAAAATTCTTTCAAATAAATAAGTGAATGAATGACTGAAAGAAGAATGACATAAGCCACATCTTCAAGTCTGTGTCTGCCATGTACCAACTGAGTAACCCAAAGTCAGTCAGTAACTTTGGCCATGTAAACTTTTTCATAAGTAAACCTGGGATTTGAAGTGAGCTATCTTTACCTTGTGGTTGTTGTGAAAATAAATTCTGTATGCCTGTTAATGTTAGCTAGATAGTAGGCAGTTATCAAATAGTAGTGCTATATATTTTTTATCAGTCACAATGGATTTGACTGCAATCAATCAAAGTTTGCTCACTGTAGTTTAAAAGATTTATTTTTCCCACATAATGCAAAGACCAGATATCAGCTAAGGCTGATATTGTTCAGTAACTCAGTGATATCAGGGTCTATGTCCCTTCAACTCACTCTGCCTTTTTCTCGGGATCAGACACAACTGCAGTGGCTGCAGCTAGAAATCTAGAAAGTAACATGTAGGAAGCAGAAGTGTAACACCTATTGTGTTATCTATTTTCTTTTATGGAAAGCTGTTTTCTCAGGAGCCTACAGAGAACACTCCCCTTTGGGTCTCATTAAACTTTGTACATGATTATTCCTAGCAGTTTTGAAAGTGACAGAACTATTACGATTAGCTTCAGTCAGTCATGTTTCATTGCCTAGGCATGGGCGTACTCTGCCCCAAACCAAATCCAGACACCATTAACAAGGAAAAATCACATCTAACCATGTCTTCCACATGAATATCTGGAAATGCTATGAGGAACAAGATTTTAGAAAGAAAAACTATATGCCAGTGCTTCCACTGGACATAAAAGGGTGTGTATGTGTGCATGTATGTAGTAATAGTGTTAATGGGGGTAGGAGTTTAACCATTTTTTCTTTTGATTACTAACTGCCTGATTTGGGACAGAACTGGCATAAAGTCATCTCGTATATGAAGTCCTTAAAGTAATGGATACTTTTAAAATCAACATTTTTAATGCTACCTTGTAAAAATCCCTGTTTTTTTCAGCTTTGCAAAGATAGAGTGATAGCCACAGTCTTCGCAATAGAGGGAGTATTAGATGACTCTCCAATCTGCCATATACTTTACTCTTTAACTTTTGATACTGAAAGGAGAACACATTTCGTATCATCAGTTCAAAGTGCTTACTGAAGTAAGACTCATAAGAGTAATAATTATAGTGTAGGTAGCACAACACATTTGGTCTGAGATGCTCCTGACTTAACGTCTTCTCCTTAATTATGGGATCAACCCAATATGCCATTCTTGTAGTATCTGGTGACCCACAAGCTTCTTTTACACGAGTATGTCTGGCTTACTTAAATAGGGTATTCATTCCATTATTTGCTTGACTATGATCCTGGTTCCCCCTCCTTATTCCCACACCCACTATTAAATTGCTCGGCTTACTTTCCATTAAGGAAGTGACTAGAACCTAGTACTCTGACTCTGCCTATTTATGAAGTCAATGTTTACTCTGCTGAACCCGTCAGTGTTTAAAAAAGAAAGGAGGGAGACATTTGTGACCCAGCCAATGACAGGAGGTCACAATTTGCAACTGCCAAATTACCAAGTAATTTTATTAATACCAGCCTCTGAAAAAGAAGGAAAAGGTGCTTTTAAAGCCTTTGGTTATATGGCTAGAATACAATTCTGTGTTAAATATCAGGTAATTTTCTTTTCTACCCTGCACATAGTAGAGCCCAGAGTATTTACAGTTCATGAGGATGCTCCAGGGTTATACGGCTGCCATACAACATATTTCTTTGTTTTAAGAGTGTAACAGATACTAAATAGTTTACTGCAGTAAATTTCTCATTTCTAACTCTAGACACATTAAAGCCTTCAAATTAGCTAGGGGACTCGGTAATAATTTATAGCTACAACAATAATTATAGCTCCATTTTTATTAAACAAATTCCCCCCAAGATATTTTATTTTCAATACAGAAGTTTTTACTTTATTAGGCTTCAATAGATTGGTGTCCTAGTCTTTCTGTTGCTATAACAGAATAGCACAGACTGGGTAATTTATAAATAATATAAATTTATTTGGCTCATGATTCTGGAGGCTGGAAAATTCAAGACTGAGGGATTGCATCTGGTGAGGACCTTCTCGCATGGCAGAAGTCATCATATGGCAAAAGAACGTGTGGAAGAGAGAGAAAAGGGGGCTGAATGTTTTCGTTGTATCCGGAACTCACTCACATGATACCATCCATTTTGCAAAGGCAGAGCTCTCATGACCTAATTACTTCTTGAAAGTTGCACCTCTCAACACTCTGTTAGGATTAAGTTTCCGATGAACTTTAGAGGACACATTAAAACCAAAGCAGTTGGTTTCTGGATTCATGTAGAAACTATTCGTTGTTTCTTTTTCTTTTTCTTTTTGCCTTGACAAAATAAAATCATTCTGTTCTTGGCTGTTCTTCTGAATTTAAATCTTTCTCTTGTAATTTACAGGAATTTGGGATTTACAGGAATTAAACTGTTTGCTCCAAATGAATTAGTATACTTTTCTTTTTAATATATGTCACTTGCTCAGATGCTGTGGTTTACATAAATCCAGGGAGAGTCAAATGCAGCATTCATACTAGTGGATCTCTGTTGTTTATTTAAAGGTAAAAGCAGCAAGACTGTTTTTCTTTTTTGTTCTGTAAAACTCATTCATATTAATTGAAGAAGTAAAGGATTGGAGATTCAATGTTTCAGAAAGATGGCTGACAATCTTAGTTTCTTCAGACTTTCATAATGAAATAACAGCAGCTGTCTGACTTAAACAACAGAAATTTATTTTTTCACAGTTATGTAATCTGGGAGTCTGGGATGAGAGGTTGTCAGGACTGTTGGGTTTTGTAAGGGCTCACATCCTGGGTTGCAGGAGTCACCTTCTCCCTGTGCCCTCACGTGGCAGAGAGACAGAGTTTTCTGGTATCTCTGCTTATAAAGGCACTAATCCTATCTGAGGATTACACATGTTTTACCTCATCTAAACCTAATTATCTCTCAAAGGCCCTGTCTCCAAATACTGTCACACTGGAGGCTCAGGCTTCAACATATGAATTTGGGAATAGGGGACACAATTCATTCCATAGCAATGACAAAAATCTTCAACAATAAACATTTAAAACTGCTCATTTTGATAGACAAAAGGCATTAAAATGTCAGAATTCATAAGAAAGTAGATCTTCAGATGTTAAACAAATTTAAACAGATAAAGTGTACTGACACTGAGGTTGACCAGAGTGAGCCAGCTAATATAATAGATTGAATTTTAGT